TGAGCGATAATCAATACCAACACTTTCTTAGTCGCTCAAAACACAGGTTGCCGCTCAAAACGTTGCCGCAAAGTATGAACGCATCCTAAGGTTCATGTAATTTCATAAATTCAGCGAGGGAATGTTGGTGAACATATAACAAGAAGGAAATTAATTTTTGAACCATTTTGTAGCGAACTGGATCTCACTAGGTGTGGTTAAGGTACCATACCGGATGATGAAGAAAACTCCGACGACGGCGGTGCTGACGAGATTGATGCTATCAATGATGAGACTTTTGGAGATGATGTTCACGTGCCCCTTGACAGCGAGTTAGAAGACTACGCGGCTCAGGTCTGTGCAGTATCATTTCCAGTTTCTGTAAATAGTTAATGTGTACGTTTCAGACGGCCTGTCTTCGACTTGACGATGCAGGTCCATGGGATACTCCTGGTTGTTCCAAAGCACCTGCACCAGATGCTTCTAACGTTCCACTCCCAGACTTTGACGTGTTTCGAACGTCTTCCTTTTCGAGCTTCGGTAGCGAAACAATGGTCAGTTATATTTACTAGAGTTTTTACTTGTTAATTTACAAAATAATGAGTGTCACTCATATACAGAAGGGGGCCCATACCTCCATTCTCCACGGGAATTTAATGAATCTTTGTATGCGCGTTAGACTCGGAAGTTACATGGCGTTCACTTCTGAGTTTTATCGAGCACAATTTTTACCCACCTCAATCTGCCACGTCAGCTTACGTTCATACCTCGCGTCAGCGTTTTTAGCGTACACCAGCGTAGGCTCACAACACTGGATCAATACCTATGCTTTCCTGATCGCTCAAACGCTGGCGTGAGCTCAAAACAGTGGCGCATAGTATGAACGCCTTCTTACTTTTTCCATTATTTTTCTAGAGGAGACGGTGTCCAAGGTATTTCAAGTCTAAAGTATGCATATTGATTTTTCATATAGTTTTATTCCTGGTTACTGGTTTTTCAGTTCGCACTGTTATACCTGGTACGTAGATTTCGTCCCCCAAGATGTTAACGACTGTGATGTGCGGCTTTCGTTACTTAAAAATTGGTGTTTAGGGCGCAGAAGCTCTGACCTAAATCTTGTCTGATGCCTCTCCCACTTTCAAAATCGCGAATCTACCTCAGTAACATGAACCATGGAAATCGCCGTGAAAGTGACGGGGTGGGGAAAGGGAGTTGATATAAATATGCTATCAGTGGGCGACAGCTCACACTAACCTACTCTCTTAGCGTCATGTTCATGGAAAGCTCGAGACTGAGTGTCTCTTACCTAGCTTGAGCAACTATAATAGATAGGCAAGTCCATCCTCGTCGAAAACTCGTCCAAGCGCCGGCGAACTCGTACGATACACGAAACCAAGTGATGGAATTTCTCAGCGTTTCTTTTAGTTTTTCTTCGTGAAAATGCCTTTTTGCATCACATCTTTCGAGATCTGACGCACATTTGCCCGGAGCAGTTGTCTTTCAAATTCAACCTTAGAGCTTAAAAGTAATGAAAAGCTGCGGAGCAAAGGGTCTAGAGGAAAGACGATTCAGATAATATCATATCGGTCAATTTAGGATTACGGTGTTCAGTTATTAGGAAAAGCGGCCTAGACAGGTTCACCTGTGTATTCACTTATTCCTCAAGAGAAATGTTTCTTACGCACTTTGCCCGCAGCTCCCGTCTGTTCGATTTTTCAATGGAAATTGGTGCGACGCATGTATAATTGCTTACTGTTGTGCATTACAATTGTCACTTCCACACAATATGCTTTTTCGCCCGCCCATTGATATGAACTCGAGAAATTCTCATTTTAGGCAAAGTTGGATTCACTATGGAGTCAAAGATCACACAATTTGTATGATCTTTGGGAGGAACAGAAGAACAACCCTCGTAACACGAACTCTAATCATTCGGCTTTTGTTCAAGTGAATACTTTTCCAGTTTACTTAGATATCACTTCCAGTAGTTTTCTTTCATTATTCGTTTTACTTTGTATTGTTTTATTATCGTAGTTCAGAATGAGGTACCGGCAGTGCAGCAGAAACCTCCTAGCGGATTTTCGCTTATTGGAGGTATTTCTCAAGCACTTGACAATGCCTCGCAAACAAATGCTTACATACAACAAAGGTCGCCAGTTCTACCTGCTATGCCTCGTGGATCTACGGTAAGGATGAAAAATCGTTATTTTAGTTGAAAAA